TATTGTTACAGAGGTTGCACAACACCCCAATCTCTGCCTAGGAGTAGCAAGATTCCAGGGGGTTCCAGGTGCTCACCAATGGTTAGGTTTACATTGGGAAATCAAGGCACTGCAGAAACTAGTGCCTTTAAGAAATACGGTTTCTTGTACCCGTTTTTACACCTGGGTCTAACTTTGGAAAGAGTTCAGAGCATGACATCTTAAGAGGCTTAGGAGCCGACGGAGGGGGTTTCAGCCCTCCATAAAATATTTGAGGAGGCTGCCCTCCCCTCAAAGTTGATGAGCATCTTCGAATAAACATTCACAAACTATATTGGTAATACAGTGGTACCTTGGGTTAAGAATTTAATTCTTTCTGGAGGTCTGTTCTTAACCTGAAACTGTTCTTAACCTGAAGCACCACTTTAGCTGAAGGGGCCTCCTGCTGCCGCTGTGCCGCCGCTGCACAATTTCTGTTCTCTTCCTGAAGCAAAGTTCTTAACCCAAGGTACTATTTCTGGGTTAGCGGAGTCTGTAACCTGAAGCGTATGTAACCTGAAGCGTATGTAACCTGAGGCACCACTGTATACAGATAGACAAACTGAAGATCTTTACAATTTTATAACATGCAGAGAATAATATATGTTGAGAAACCAGAGAGAGGAGCTGAGGGAAGTCTGGGGTGGGGGTGGAAGGGTGGGTTTTTATATTTTGGGTGGAGGGGGAAAATGGGGGGGGGGGAATGAGGATGATGTACTTTTGATAAATTGTCATGTTGAAATTCCTAATAAAAAATATTTTTAAAAAAACAAAGTTGATGAGTGTCGCCTTTCAAATGGTGTCTGTGCACCGTTTGATCGATTATGCAGAGCTTACTTGGGTCCTCCCAATATTGTATTGAAGTTGGCACCCCTGTTAAGAGGGGCTTGTTCCCCACAGCAGGGGAACACTGGAATCCAGGGCAAAGTGCACACCATTTCCATACCAGTGTCCTAGCCTTTCAAGATGGTTCTGGCCTCCTCATCAGCTCATCCAGTCATCCTCATTCTTAACACCCAATCTCTAAATTTCCAAAGGGCACATTTCCCTCCTGTGTTTCATCATGCCCCTCCATTACCCTAGCAACCCCACCCCCTCTCAATTCTGCTGTTGTCTTCTGCTAACCACTGTGCCGCTTGGGCTTGCCGATCAGAAGGTCAGCGGTCCGAATCCCCACAACGGGGTGGGCTCCCGTTGTTCGGTCCTAACTGCTGCCCACCTAGCAGTTCGAAAGCACGTCAAAGTGCAAGTAGATAAATAGGTATTGCTCCGGTGGGAGGCAAAACAGCATTTCCATGTGCTGCTCTGGTTCGCCAGAAGCGGCTTAGTCATGCTGGCCACATGACCTGGAAAAACTGACTGCGGAAGCAGACAAACGCCAGCTCCCTCGGCCTGTAAAGCGAGATGAGCGCGGCAACTCGAGAGTCATTCGCGACTGGACTTAATTGTCAGAGGTCCCTTTACCTTTACCTTTAACTAACACTGAGCTGGTCGGAGGGAAGGGCAGCGTTTGCATGGTCAATTGCTCTCCTTGTGCTTTTAATTGCATCATGATAAGTGATCTTCTGAACAGGAGAACTGGTTCATCCTGTATTTTTCACTGGCCCGGCATCTTCCCTTCATTACCCACAAATATTATCTAAACTCTACCATGGATTAATGTATAACTTTCACTAACTCTTGCAGTGATGGGTGCCCTTGCACCCCGCAAACTCTACTACCCCAGATTTGGAACAGTATCATATATTAATGCCCCCCACCTTAGTAACAGATGTTACATATCTGAACCCGGATGTTAAGGCAGCTTCTGACAAACCAGAATTGCATTTGTGGTTAATCAGCAACTTTCACTCTCTTCGACATATGCAAGATGATCACTTCCTTCTTTTTCATTTAAAGATACCCTCGCTGCAAATTGGGACTTGGCAAGTCCAGATTTGCTGGAATACCGTGTCCAATCCTGGGCGCCACAATTTAAGAAGGATGTTGACAAGCTGGAATGTGTGCAGAGGAGGGCAACCAAGATGATCAAGGATCTGGAAGAAGAAGAAGAAGAAGAAGAAGAAGAAGAAGAAGAAGAAGAAGAAGAAGAAGGGGAGGAGGAGGGGGAGGGGGAGGGGGAGGGGGAGGAGTTTGGATTTGATATCCGGCTTTATCACTACCCTAAGAAGTCTCAAAGTGGCTCACAAGCTCCTTTCTCTTCCTCCCCCACAACAAATACTCTGTGAGGTGAGTGAGGCTGAGAGACTTCAGAGAACTGTGACTAGCCCAAGGTCACCCAGCAGCTGCATGTGGAGGAGCGGGGAAGCAAATCCGGTTCACCAGATTATGAGTCCACCGCTCTTAACCACTACATCAACGCTGGCTGGTTGTGGACTCTCCTTCCTTGGAGGATTTTAAGCAGAGGTTGGCTGGCCACCTGTCATGGATGCTGTAGTTTCCTGCATTGGACTAGATGACCCTTGGGGTCCCTTCCAACTCTTCAATTCTATGATTCTAAGAGTTGAGGAAATCAACTGAAGCTCTCCTGCTTAAACTAAGACAATTTGCTAAGTTCCTTGGCATAAGGCAGAGATGGGCAACCCATGGCCCTCCAGAACTCCAACTCCCATCAAACCCAACCAGCATCACCAATGAGCAGGGATGATGGGAACTGGAGTCCAACAATATCTGGAGGACCATAGGCTTCCCAGATGCTTCTTGAACTGTCCTCATGCAAGCATTCTTAATGCAGGGATGCCTGCAGGAAAAAGTAGGAAAAGCTGCCCCTGCTAAATTGGCATAATAAAGAAAATATGTAGCACCTCCATAAGCTTTTAAAAGGGATTTTTAAAAAAAATTGGCATACCTTTAAGATTACACTCTAAGTGACCTTTTGCATCCCTTCAGCAGGGCTGTCAGGTCCTGACTCAGAGATCATACTCCCCGTTTGTGAAATGCTTTCCCCAGGGAAGCACACCTGGCACCATCATAGTCAGCTTTTAAGCATGAGACTAAGACATTCTTGTTTGTCCTATCCTGGGCGCCACAATTTAAGAAGGATGTTGACAAGGCTTTTGGTCATTACCTAGGATCACACTGTAGTGCATACCCGCCAACATCCTGCTGATCTAAATTAGGATGCTCGTTTTTTGGTCCCGAGCTCTTGTAATTGTAATTCCCCTGCCTGAAATAAAATAAATGGAGTATCTTCCATTTCTATTAGTTCATTCAGTTGCTCTTTCTTTTCCGTCGGAATTTGTTGCACTCCTTTTTGCTTCAAAAATTCCTCTATTCTATTTTCCTTTCCAGCTTTTTTGTATAACTGTTTATAAACATTTACAAAGCCTTTTCTAATTTCTTTTGGATTCTCTACTTCTTTTCCTTCCAATATTATTTTATTGATTGTATTTTGGGATTTTCTTCTTTTTTATTTGCCAAGCCAGCCGAAGAAGAAGAAGAAGAAGAAGAAGAAGAAGAAGAAGAAGAAGAAGAAGAAGAAGAAAATATAGTTACAGGTAGAAGATGGGATGTTCAGGACTATGGCTAACAATAAAAACATGCCAATAATAAACACATGCATGTACCATTGCCCTCTAGTGTACAACATAGAAAACAGCTGCCTAGGGCAGAGGTTTTCAACTTCTTTGAGTGCACGGCTCCCTTGGACCAACTACATCCTTTCTGCAGCTCCCCTGTGGGGAAATGTGCTCCGAGCCTCAAAATCCCAGTTATGTCACCCCTTGCCTGCAAAACACCCTCCCTTGTGGAGTGTTCCCTCAGCCTCCTCTCCTCTTCCCCATCTCCTTGGGAGCTCTCCAGGTAGCAGCTGCCGACAACACAATCTCTGATCCACTGCCCGCCCCCCCCGCTGCCCCAAAGAGAAGTGCCCCCTCACGTCACCCCACAGGGACCTGGAAAAAGGATGCCCCCAGACTTAGTGGCCCGACTGCCCAAATTGTGAACGCGAAGCAAGCAGCCACACAAACCTTTGGGAGGCAGAGATGCGAGAGGGCATCCGAGGAGGGAGGGAAGGAAAAAGGGACCGAGGGCAGTGTTGCCTGCAGCACCCCTGACTATAGTGGTACCTCAGGTACCACTAAATTGGTAATACAGTGGTACCTCAGGTTAAGTACTTAATTCGTTCCGGAGGTCCGTACTTAACCTGAAACTGTTAGCTAATGGGACCTCCTGCTGCACCGCTGGAGCACGATTTCTGTTCTCATCCTGAAGCAAAGTTCTTAACCTGAAGCACTATTTCTGGGTTAGTGGAGTCTGTAACCTGAAGTGTATGTAACCTGAAGCGTATGTAACCTGAGGTACCACTGTATCATGTAAGGCACCCCAGGGTGCCACAGTGCACTGGTTGAAAACCACTGGCCTATGGCTATCTAACGTAGATGTGACCTGGGAAGTGTCAAAGGTTAATAATTAAACTCATCAGCATTCACCTGGTGGGTCTTGACCCACTACAGTGGTACCTTGGTTTACTACCATAATCCATTCCGGAGGTCCAAAACAGTTTGTAACCCAAGGCGCGCTTTCACCAATGGGGCCTCCAAATAAAATTTGTTCGTAATCCACCCCCCAATGGGTTGTAATCCAAAAAAAAGGTTGCAAACCGGGACACGCATTAAGGCATCTAAGCCTTAATGGTTGCAGGACAAGTAAGAAGTCCAACAGGTAGAGAATTTATTTCCAGCGTGGAACTGCAAGGAAGGTGGGCACAGCATCACCTGTTGAACATCTGCCTTCCATGCAGCAACGGATGCTGTTGGGCAACGAGGGAGGAATTTATTAGCATTCACTAGTAAACCAGCAATTTTTTTTCCACGCCAAGGAAAAAGTCCAAGCCCGAGGAAAGAAAAGGGTTAAAGGTTCCCGATGAGCTTATTGGCTGAGCGCGCAGCCAGTGGAGAGCAGATAACGCCGCCGGGGGGAGGGAGGCGTGCGCTCCTCCATCCCTAATGCGCACGCGTGCTTTGCGCCTGAGGTTGCCTTAGAGACCGAGAAGCCGGTTTGTTTATATCCGGGAACTTTCGGTTATTTCTCCCTTCCCACTTCCGCCTCCGGTTGCCCCTTCCAAGATGGCGACCATAACAGAGTTGAAAGCAGGTAAAGGGAAGCGGGAATATTCTTTTTCCTTTGTCCTGGTTCGAGGAGGGGGGGGCACTTGTTTTAAACTTATTTTTCACTGGGTGTGTGTGCCCTCCCCCAGCTCTGCTCCTAAGCCTTTAAGAGCTTAGGAAGTTCACCTGGTGCAGCTGCTATTCTGTTGTGGGGTTCTGCACCTGTTGCCTGGCTGCCTGTCATGGACTTGATGGGGATACGTTTTATCATGCCAACAAGGAAGCATATTTAATTCTGTCTGCTTTACAAAAAGACGACGATCTCATTCTTCTTTGTTAATTTGCATTTTTTTAAATGTCCAGCATTTCTAATGAAACTTAGCTTCTATCCAATGCAGCTTATGAGAACTAAAGGCTTAGCTATTGTCAGTTGTTCTCTTTTTTTTGGGGGGGGATGTGTTTGTTTGTTTGTCTGTTTTCGCCCTTGGAACAGCTACAGCTGGGTTTCTAGTTAATAGAAAAGCTGCCTGGTTTTGTACTCACTAGTTTTAACAGACACGCTGGAGAAGAGAGGTACGCTGGGACAGATCAAAGCAAGGATCAGAGCTGAAGTTTTCAACGCGCTGGATGACCAAAGCGAACCACGGCCATCGTTGTCCCATGAGAACCTTTTAATCAACGAACTGATCCGTGAATACTTGGAGTTCAACAAATACAAATATGCTTCATCTGTTCTAACAGCAGGTGAGCCTTTTTCCTATTTCCTTTTCTCTGTTGCATGCATACTGTCCAATAAATAATGAATATGGAAATGGAAATCACAGAAGTTACAGTCCTACAGAAATGTGTCTCTGGGTGGATGGAGATTTGTGGCTGGTGAACAGTGATTTGTTTGCGAGCTATGCGTGATGGGGCTTACTAAAATAGCTAGGTACATACAATTCCTGCATTGCAGGGGGTTGGACTAGATGACTCTTGGGGTCCCTTTTAACTTTTACAATTCTATGATTCTGTGAATCCGAGTTCAGAAAGGATTGGGAAGACTTAATGTTCACATGTTCTGTTTTTCAGAGTCTGGCCAGCCTGAAGTTCCATTGGACAGAGAATTTCTTGTTAATGAATTAAATATAGTTGAAGATCCAAACAGCAGATCAGTGTAAGATGACATAGTCCATATCTTCTCGTTCTATAAACGCCCTCTGGATTTTGAATGCCTTAAGTGTTGATATATGATGAATACATTCTTAACCATATATGTGCAGGACGACACATATAATGTTTTCCTTACACTTCAGGAGCTCTATGGTAAATTGCTAAAGCTATAATCTTATACATACTTACCTAGGAATAAAGTCCTGTGGAGTTCAATAAGCCTACTTCTGAGTAGATAAGATTATGCTGTAAGTGTGCCTCCAAAGAGTGCTTACAAAGAAGTCAGTTTCCTTGGACCCAGACGGCCTTGCTTCTGAGTTACAGTGGTACCTCTGGTTACGTACTTAATTCTTTCTGGAGGTCTGTTCTTAACCTGAAACTGTTCTTAACCTGAAGCACCGCTTTATCTAATTGGGCTTCCGGCTGCTGCTGCGCAGCCGCCTTGCGATTTTGTTCACATCCTGAAGCAAAGTTCTTAACCTGAGGTACTATTTCTGGGTTAGTGGAGTCTGTAACCTGAAGCTTATGTAACCCGAGGTACCACTGTATGATCATATGCAATTGTTTGTTCTTTGCTGAAAATCTGCAAGCATAGTCCAGCAAAGATTCCCCCTGTGCAAGTTCCATTGAAGTAAATGGGAGTGGCTAAAAATCCTTTGCCCCTTGTTTCTTCAGCTCTCTCTACTCAACATTTCCCTCCCATTTTTTAACAGGCCACTTCTGTATGGAATTATAAACCAGCTGTTACATGGTAATGAAGAAAAGGTCTGCAATACATTCCCTAGAGCACCTTCGTTACAAGTTTCGAACCAACCAACGAAAGGAGTCAAATGGGTATGGTTTGGTTAGGGTGTGTGGGAGTGTATATAATGCAGGAGTGTTTAACCTATGGTCCTCCAAATGTTGTTGGACTACAACTCCCATAATCCCTGGGCTGTGCCAGCAAAGTCTGATTGGAGTTGGAACACCAAAAAAATTCTGAACCACAGGTTTGCCACCCCTGAGAGGGGCTTGCAAATAAACTTTACTTTCAAGGGAAAGAGAAGTTACTGTTCTGACACTGGCATACATTGTCATTGGCACTGAGACATAACCAAACATAAAACCTGGCCACCTTGGGGTCTACTTCCTCCTGCATTAAGATGGAGAATCTGATGCTCTCCAGATGTTGTTGGATTTTAACTCCTATCAGCCCCAGCCAGCAAAGGACAATGGGAGTTGTAGTCCAGCAATGCATGGAGGGACATAAACGCCCCGGTCCTACATGAATTGCCATGTTGTTAAGATTGGCTTTGGAGGTTCAGAACTGGGTCCCATCATTGTTGGAGTCAATGTTGATGGCAGCTGGAGAGAGCTTTCATTGCTGTGCCTTCTGGGCTTTGCAACTTCCTCCCTCGCGTGGTTTGCCTGGTGCCGACTTTATTATCTTTTAAGTGCATTCTGGATTTCTTCTCTTACTTTGCCTTTTAACCTGTGCAGGTTGCTGTTGTGTCTTACTGCTGTAGTTACTTGTTTTGTTTATATTGGAAACTGTTCTGAGAATCTGTATTGAAGAATGGCATATTATTGATTGGGATGTTTGGGTAACATTGGTCACAGAGGAGATCTGCTACGCGGTTCACCCAAATTAGTATTGCAAGAGCTGTTGGCAGCGTGATTCTATACTCAAAGTGAGTCCTCCTGAATTCAGTGGGACTTGTTTTCAAGTAAGTGTGCACAGGATTGCAGAAGCAAAGGCACAAGACTTGCTTTTATCCTGTCAGGAAACAGTGGATGAGAGGTGCCATTCACTGGAAAGATAACTTGCATAAGCCTAGCTTAAATGAGCAGGAGTTGTGGAAGAGCATAGTATGACTCTTCTGCAACTTGGAAGCAATTTTCCAAGCAGGTTTTTGGCCTCCATACAGGAAAACTGGTTGGCCAGTGATGTGATCTGTAGGTTCAGCTCATCCCAAGTAGATCTCATAAGAAAATATGATTACTGTGAACAATCCACTCAAGAGCTGGCATTACTTACATTTCTCCCTGCCACATGGCCGTCCATGTTGAAATGCAACACAACATCTTTGTTTTAATTCTCAGGCGCTGCTGCGGAGCCAGGATTCATAGCCGGCCCAAAGCTTGAAGATATGTTGAGTTCACGGGGCCTAAACAGATGAAATAAACCATCACGTGTCTTTAATGCAGAGCAGGTGTTTATTTGTTACTGTGCAAAGTTCTCAAGATTGTTTGGTAAAATGGGTAAGGACTACAGTATTTTGTAGATGTGACATTTCTAATAATCTTTGTGCTGTGTTTTCCTCTACTGTTCTAGTCCAAGGTATGTTGTTGGTAAAAGGAGGGATATATTAGTGTGGAAATGTAAGAAACTGTGACAGTTTTACAGCATCAATCTTCTCTTGGAGGGTCAGAATCCATTTATTTTCGTGGTATGATAAATGGTAAATAAAGGGGGGGGGAGCAGGTTTGGGCTATTGGTGGGTCCGGGATCTAAAAATTAAAAGCATCCAGTGTTTCAGCTCAGTGTCATACTGAATTCTATTTTTGGTTCTTTGTAAATGAATAAAAGATTTGTTGCTGTTGTTTAGTCGTGTCCGACTCTTCATGACCCCATGGACCAGAGCACACCAGGCACTCCTGTCTTCCACTGCCTCCCACAGTTTGGTCAGACTCATGTTTGTAGCTTTGAGAACGCTGTCCAACCATCTCGTCCTCTGTCGTCCCCTTCTCCTTGTGCCCTCAATCTTTCCCAACATCAGGGTCTTTTCCAGGGAGTCTTCTCTTCTCATGAGGTGGCCAAAGTATTGGAGCCTCAGCTTCACGATCTGTCCTTCCAGTGAGCACTCAGGGCTGATTTTCTTAAGAATGGATTCGTTTGATCTTCTTGCGGTCCATGGGACTCTCAAGAGTCTCCTCCAGCACCATAATTCAAAAGCATCAATTCTTCGGCGATCAGCCTTCTTTATGGTCCAGCTCTCACTTCCATACATCACTACTGGGAAAACCATGGCTTTAACTATACGGACCTTTGTTGGTAAGGTGATGTCTCTGCTTTTTAAGATGCTGTCCAGCTTTGCCATCGCCTTTCTCCCAAGGAGCAGGCGTCTTTTAATTTCATGGCTGCTGTCACCATCTGCAGTGATCATGGAGCCCAAAAAAGTAAAATCTCTCACTGCCTCCGTTTCTTCCCCTTCTATTTGCCAGGAGGTGATGGGACCAGTGGCCATGATCTTCGTTTTTTTGATGTTGAGCTTCAGACCATATTTTGTGCTCTCCTCTTTCACCCTCATTAAAAGGTTCTTTAATTCCTCCTCACTTTCTGCCATCAAGGTTGTGTCATCTGCATATCTGAGGTTGTTGATATTTCTTCCGGCGATCTTAATTCCGGCTTGGGATTCATCCAGCCCAGCCTTTCGCATGATGAATTCTGCATATAAGTTAAATAAGCAGGGGGACAATATACAGCCTTGCCGTACACCTTTCCCAATTTTGAACCAATCAGTTGTTCCATATCCAGTTCTAACTGTAGCTTCTTGTCCCACATAGAGATTTCTTAGGAGACAGATGAGATGATCAGGCACTCCCATTTCTTTAAGAACTTGCCATAGTTTGCTGTGGTCGACACAGTCAAAGGCGAATACAAGATAATTTGCCTTAAACTTTGACTTGCGAGGGTGTCCGATAATTGAATCCTTATGTGGTGGAAATAGGGACTTTTCACAACAACGATAGGGACTTTCTACAATAATTGATGTTAATAATTACAGAAATGGGATCATGTTATTTTAGGAAATGTTTCGGCCTTCCCTGCAAGCCTGAAGTGTTTTCCAGTGTTCAGCAAAGAACAGTGTTAAGCCTCAGCTAAGGATATTATATATATATAAAAAAAAGGGACGCGGGTGGCGCTGTGGGTAAAACCTCAGTGCCTAGGACTTGCTGATCGTAAGGTTGGCGGTTCGAATCCCCGCGGGTAAGCTCCCGTCATTCGGTCCCAGCTCCTGCCAACCTCAGCAGTTCGAAAGCACCCCTAAGTGCAAATAGATAAATAGGGATCGCTTTATAGCGGGAAGGTAAACGGTGTTTCCGTGTGCGGCGCTGGTGCTGGCTCGCCAGATGCAGCTTCGTCACGCTGGCCACGTGACTCGGAAGTGTCTTCAGACAGCGCCGGCTCCTGGCCTCTTGAGCGAGATGAGCGCGCAACCCTAGAGTCGGTCACGACTGGCCCTGTTGGGCAGGGGTACCTTTAAGGATATTATATAGATTTAGGACCAAGTTATGGGTATGGTACAGATGTAATGCTGTTGAGCTTATGTCTCTGCCTTTGCTTCCTCTTCTCACATGCCCTGATTGAGTAGAGACTTCCTGATTTCCTAACCACAGTTTCCTGTGGCATCCAAACTAGGAAACTCTGGTTTAAGCACTGCCTGCAAGCCAATATTGAAATTTTGGGTGCAGTAGGATAAAAGACTTGAGCTCCTAGCTGCTTTTCCTCATTGGAGCAGCACTGTAGTGTTATGATTGAGGGCAGTTTGCTTTCTCTGGTCTCTCATTTGACAAAATTTGCAATCAGAAACGAGGATAAAAATTAAGATCTACTGTATATGTAAAATAGGAAGAATACAGTGTTCAGCTAACAGCTCTCCCAAGCCACCCTTGGCTGAGCAAATGCTGCGATGTCATGGAATGCTCACAAACATTCAGGCTTCTTTGGGGGGATTTGTCACTTTACAGGGGAGTAAAATGTAAGGTTGGGTTAGGAAACGCCCTCAGACAGGGTGTAGATTACTGATGGCTAACCAGATCAAATCCAACCCATATATAACATTTCTTCTGTTCTATTGTGAGTTACAGTAACTGCAGCTGCCTGTGCTTTAGTGAAGTACTTAGCTTAGCTATCTGATCTGGCACGCTCACAGGAATAATTTTAAGAGACACACGCAAAGGAAACCTGTATCAGACTAGTTCTGGACAAGGGGAAGTTTTCTGTACACAACGGAAGGGGCATTTCATGGATTTTTACTGAAGCTGGAGTGGCTGGAGCCACCCAGTCAGATGGACAGGCTACAGATTAATAATAATAATAATAATAATAATAATAATAATAATAATAATAATAATTTTATCATCATCATCAAGCTGACCTGCTTCAAAATGGAACAGCAGCTTGCCATTCCCATGAAGCTGGAACTTTCAAAAAACTTCTGCCCACATACATGCTTTTCCTCACCCAGGCTATGGCTGTCTAGGATTGAGGCCTAAAACTATGTTGTCACTTACTTTCTAGGAAAGTGTGCCCCCTCCCTGGCCCCACAAGGATCTGTGCAGTTTTAGGCACAATAGTTTCTTTTTCTTACACATACACTTTTTTTCCCTTAGAGGCTAGAAAGTTGGCATACTGCATTTCATATTGCATCAGTCTGCTTTTAAGCAATAACACTGAACATGTAGTAATCTTTCTTCCTTCTTTTTTTCTGCTTGCCTGGCTGAAGGATGATTGTCCCCGATATCATTTATTGCTTTACAAAAGCCCCTTTCACGAGATGTGCTTTTGGGTCTGAATGGCTGGGAAAACTGACCTTCAGTGCTCAGATGGTTGGAGTTCAGTGGCTAGATAGAAACTTGAGCCTGCAACAAAGTTATGATGTCTGTTTTGCAGAACAAGTGAAGCGGGCATTCCACTTGACACTGCTGTGTTTTCTGGGAGGCGGGGGCACAAGAACTCTGGTTAGATTCTACACTTTGAGCCTGGAAAGTACTATCTCTTGTGTAAGCATTGCTGCAAATCTCAGCTAGCAATGGTGTCGTTTCTCTATGTTGTGGGTAACACCAGCCCCCCTTGTGTTTACCAAGAATCTCTGTTTCAGCTGGCACTCTGCATATGCCCCAAGATATTTTGCTTTTCTTCAAGCAATGAGGGCAGCACCATTGCAAGGAATTGGAGAAAGCTACTGTAGTTCAACCTAAGCGTCAGAGGAAACCTCACTGGTTCGTGCCAAATATCCTCTCCCATAGTAGCTGCGGTTCAGGGGAATGTCCTCACAGTAATATGACCCTATTATGCAGATTGATAGGTGCAAGCCTAATTGGTCTCCAGAACTCCCTACCATATCGAATGCAAGCAGACAACCTTATTTAACATTAATGAACTTGATACAGGAGTGGAGGCAGCCTCCAGCAAGCATCTCCCCTGAGGAATTCGATTAGCATTCATTTCCTGAGAAACCTCTCCCTCTTTCCCTAGGAGGAACACCTTAGTCACCTGATGGCAAGTCCTGATTTTCCAGAAACGGCTCGTGACCTCCCTGCCACTCTCTGGCAGGAAACTTGCATTGATTATGTGTGTAACAACTTGCTACTTGAAGTCATGTTCTACTGTTCCTTCTGCCCAGCCCTTTCTTTAAAGAGAGCACCCTTTGGTGTCAGAGCTAATACAGTCACACCTCGGGTTACAGACGCTTCAGCTTGCGTTTTTTCACGTTGCGGACTGCCAAAACCTGGAAGTACCGGAACGGGTTACTTCCGGGTTTTGGCGGTTGCACATGTGCAGAAGTGCCGAATTGCAACCCGCACGTGCGCAGATGCACTGTTGCGGACGTGCATCCCGCATGGATCACGGTCGCAACCCGAGCGTCCACTGTACTCATCAGGAATATTCTTTCCTATAACTGGACACCCCTGCCTCACCCCCAGTCCTTCCTTGGATCGGTCTTCTGCCAAGGTGTTTTACCAGCTGCAACAAGACTGCTCTGTGATTGTCTCCAGTTCAGCTAGCTGCTCAGGATGCTGTTCCATTTCGTTAAGAATCCTCCTTTGAGACTGCTCCACTTTGCTCTTCTTCGAGCCTGCTCTGATCCCGTGGATGCCTGCAGCATACAGGCTTCCAGTCTAAAAAAACAAAGCAACCCACGGCACACAAGGGAAAAGGGACAGGGAGGGAAGAGGAGGGGGGAAATGCAAACTCGGGCACCAATTCTTAACTGGTGGTTCCTATAACAACCAATTTGCATAGTGCAGGGGTAAGAAGATGCCTGGGGGAGCCTTCTGCTTCCCATCTCTCTCCCCCCTGCCCCCGGCAGTCTGATGGAATGGCTGTTGAGGGAAAGGTGACCTGGTGGATCCTGTCTGCCAAAGGGAAACTATGTGCGTCTTGCAGTGCTTGACAGTTTCAGCTGTCAGGCTGGCTTCTGTACATTGAATTAGGAAGGAGGGCCACCTTGTCTTTTGCTTCACGTTGCAAACTGGGAGATCTGGATTCAAATCCTCACTCAGCCCTGAATCTCCCCAGGAGGCTCCCCTGTATCTTCGCCTCCCTGGTTTGTTGCAAGATAAAATCAGGTGGGAGGATAAGGACCATGTGTGCCAGCCTTGGAGGAAGGATGTGATATAAATGTCATAATTGCCAGGAGGGGATTGTTCAGGAGGAGCCATCCCATGCTACAGTAGCTGATGTCATGAGTAGTTGAGGTTTTAGGTTTTAGAGCAGGGGTCAGCAAACTTTTTCAGCAGGGGGCCGGCCCACTGTCCCTCAGACCTTGGGGGGGGGTGGACTATATTTTTTTTGGGGGGGGGAATGAACGAATTCCTATG